ACAGAAAGAAAACTGCAATCACATTTAATCAACTACTCATAAGACCACCAAGAACTTCAACTTAACTCCCTAAGGTAATCCACATCGATATCCAAATGGATATTCAAGGTTTAGCAAAGGCTTAGCCAGGATCCTATTACTCGTCGTATTTGATTTTATTTTACTTTTACAAAAAATAAAAAAAAAATCTTGTTGCTAATACGCGAATACAAAATTAACTACTAATACAAATGCGTGAACACAAAATATAATTACTAATATAAATGCATGAATGTAAATATAACTACTAATACAAATATGTGAATGCAAAATTCAACTACAAAAACTTTTGCCCAAAAAATACATGAAAGCCCTTAATTTTGTAGCTGCTATTGCTACTGAACAACAAAGTTTTAATGATAATAAATGGAATTGTAACTTTTTTCTTAGAAGTACTCGTGTGTACAATTTTAAACAGAAAACGAATTATATAAAGTTAAATTGTGTAAAGTTCGAAATCACAAAAGAATTTTTTAAAAATAAAGACTCCTAAATTGAGTTCAAAATGCACGCGTTTTACCTAACATATATTTAAAGAATTAATTTATCAAAAGTTTATTAACTAAAAAAAATCCTAAATTTTATTATCTAAAAATCCTTCCTAAACTGAAAGGAGAAAACAAAATATAAATGAAATTGGAAAGTAAACGAAACCAAATATATTTGCAACTTGCAAGCAATTAATACTCTTATCCACCTAAACCCAAACGGAGATATTTAATACTCCAAAAATACGAAATTTCCTAGTTCATTGAAAGAAAAAAAAACTAAACCTAAAAGGTAACTGTTCTAAATAGTAAGAAATTAACTAAAAACCTATTGCTAAATATTAGGGAAATAATTAATGACTATTTTGTTCATTGTAAACTCTATTTTAAAATGATAAAAAAGACGAACGACATTTCGCTAAGGGTCTTCGTGCTTTTAATATAGTATAGATATATATTTGCAAAAAAGTGGTTCAAAACTGTAATGGGTTCAATAGCAAGAACCTAAAGGTTGAATCCATCAAATTTATATTCTGGATCCACCTATTCGTAATAGTGCACCCATCTTCTCGAAATCCTAGATCCGCCCTCGAGTTTCGAGCCATCCATCACATGTGATTCTCCAACGAGTTAATATATGTTAGCTTCTTCTTTTTTCTCTCTTCATGAAAGAGTTAACTGTCTTTTTTAGATATCTTTCGGGATTAGTTCTAATGATCTATAATTTGAGATTTTGTAATGTAAAGATTTGCTTTACCACTTCTTCAGAATGGAATGTGAATGTAAAATTTCTTTCTAAATTCAATTGAGACACGTTTTGCTATGTCTTCCAAGCTTTTAAAAAGTTCAACCGGTAAAAGTTCACCTAATTTAGAAGAGATAACAATCAATCAGAACAATTGTTTCATTTTGAAAGACAAAATGAAAGAGTTGAGATGCTTTAAAGTCGTACCAGGGGAAAAAGTTAGCAATTCGAGGATACCCCAAGTTCGACCATGATGCTCTAGGAAGAGGGTACATTAAATTGAATGAAGACAAAGAGTATCATGAATACATTTCTAAAAAAAAAAAAAGAGAACTCGTCAAGGGAAATTCTGCCAATTTATTTCAAATGAGTTTATTAAGATGATCTTGTCAACGTAATTGATTCATTTATTCTCCTTTTTAAATGTCAGGAGGAAGCAGTGCGAAAATTTCCCGTAATGGGCAAAAGCTTGATGGAGCAACGCCAACACCGCTTAAGATAAATCCTGCATACTGCATACGCCACTGAATACAGAAAACTTCAAATGTGAAGAATAATCAAAGAAAGATACGCCGCGAAGTCCATATATGAAAGAGAGATACAATATTAATAGCTCTATTGTTTATTTTGACATGGTGAAAACAAGTTAGTACTAAGATTCAATTCAGAATGGTAAGTGGTGAAGCTAGTTTTACAGGTCAAAGAACAGAGAAAAATATAAGAAACGTCAGGAACAACCTGTTTACCCAGCTTGAGAATGACATAAGGATCACTGCTATTGAAGTCCCGAATCGCCAAACTCCTGCCTTTTACAACAGTCACTTTTAGCTGTCCAAATTTGTCTCCCATAATTAATTCATAAACGAACAAACCTGCATCCACAAGGTCCAATACATACACATTAAATCCCTAACTGGAGATGAAACAATTGCTTATGTACAAAAATTGACTCAATCCGAATTTTCTGTTACTCATTGCAGAATACATGCAGTTCTACTCATGTATATATAGATAAGGCAGATGAAAAAAATATTAAAGCAGCAAACTTTTCTCCAATTTCAGCTCCAAAAGGGGAAAATATCGAAACAGAAACTTAGCAAAAGAACACAGTAACCCTAGACTCCAATATAGACAGACAGCAGAGAAATATCACCAACACGGTCAGTAATCAAAATCTTGAAAACAACATAAAAGAGACATCTTTAACTCACTTGAATCAGACCCAGATATCTGTCTCAAAAACTAAAGTAGCAAAAGGAAGATTCACTTGTTGCAAATGTTGCTTTGGTTTCTTCAAATGGTTCTGCTCGAAGAAGCCAGAGAAACCCAAGAAGGGACAAAGTTCCAAATGGACTGAACGTTTGTTTTTATTATGGGAGTGAATTAAGGAATTTACATATCTACAATCTTAGTTATGGATTTCAACGGACAAACTATAGAATATTTATTGAAGTGTGTATAAGGCTATATAAGCAAAAGGGGAGTGGGTTTCGTTTGTGTTAATTAGATATAAGTTTGTTTAAGAGCAGATATATAGGACTCTTGAGGAGTCATTTCTTTTTGCCCCATTGACAAGCTAACATTCACGCGCTTTCCCCCCTTGTTATGAATTTCTACTTTTCTATGTATTTTCGTATTCGTTTTTATATTCCATTTTTTACCCCTTTTCTTTTCCTTTCTGTGTAGCAGCTTCCGATCGTTTTAACGCACCGTTGTCTCGTGATGACTCTCATTCTTTCACCCTTTTCGAGAGTTTGAATTGTAATATGGAATCATTCTCATACATTTTTATTTATAGTAGTTAGGGATCTAATTAAGGAGTGTGGGGAAGAATGGATAGAGAGATGTTCCTGTTGTGATCATTTAATAAATTACAAAAATACATGAGTGTGGAGAATTGTCACTAGATTTGATCGAGGCATACGATAAACATGAATAATAGAACCCTTGGTAAAGAGAAACATTTTGAATAAAATAAATACTTCCATAAAAGGAAATAGAAATAGTTAGAATTCATTAAAGAGATCGCCAAAAGGTATCAATTACAAGATTGTAATTCAATATTTTCCAGTACTCCTACTACTCTTATTTGATTTACAAGTTACTCTAACTCGTAAAGCAAAATATTCACTCCAACTCACTAACTGTTTATGACGTTTGATTACAACTCAATTTCCTAAAACACATTCACTAGACTGACTCTGAAGAATACAAATCAAGTACTCAACACAAGTAAAAACAACTTATGACACTTTAGTTGATGTGTGAAAGGATAGTGCAAAAGTCCAAAGTCAATCCTATTTAAGCACGACTTGAGATCTTCTAGGTCTTATTCATAGTCAGCTTTCTCTTTGATAGGACTCCTACTGTTCCAAGGACTCCACAAGCTTTCGGACTTTTGTCTCTGACTGACTTATTTGTATCTTTTTGAGCAACGATCCTTATCACTTATAGAAGCCATCTTTCACCAAACTCGGACCTGGATAACTTTGAGATAAAGTTACTGTCTTGCTCATACGTACAAATATCAGCCATAAGGAGCTGATCCTTTAACCCGAGGAGCTGGTTCTTCACAACAGTTAAGCAGCTATATTGAGAACCTGGTTCTTTAAGCAGTTAGCCACGCTTTGTTAATCATCAAAACTTCAATACTCAATATAATGCTTGGATCACATGTTCATTTAAGCGAAAATGGAGGCCCATTTGGTAAAACTTTAAAAATATCTTTATTGTAAAGTGTGGTTTTTGGTTGCCGAAAATATTTTTTTAGGTAATTTCACCATGCTAAAGGAGAGATTACGAAGGCTACGAAGTCAATTCGAATTTCATATAGTATTAAGAAGGAAAGAAATCATCTTCAAGTTTAGAATGTTTGTAATTGCATGCCAAAATTATTGAAGTTCCAATTCGGGAAATGCCTAAGGCACCTTTGATTTCTATCCTCTTTTATATTATTGAACACTGTGCTAGTCTGTAGATTAACACCTATCAATTTACTTTAATTTATCATAGCGAGTTAGTTTTCATTTTAATTACCAAGTTACCAATAATATTTATCCTAAATATGAGTATGCAAAATTTGAGCTCTTGCCGCTAATGCTTCCCGATTTGCTCCAAGGGTTTTTCGTTGGTCGGATTTCTTCTTCTTCCTTTTTACATTTGCGGAATCAGAATGTTAGACTGAGTCATTTGTCATTGGTGATTGAAAGTCATTTGTTTGGTGATTGAACTATGTTTGACCTCATTGACTTGGACCAGATCTTACATGCTAAATCATATCTTTGCTTAATATACATTAAAATGATATATGAAGTCAATTAATACTTTACCATGCGACACATCACAGGACACAGGTAGCGAACTTGCCACCACTGTTTCAACACCGAATTGTTTCTTAAATTGTAATTATTGCAACCCCCAAAAGTTCCTGAAATTGAATTCAATGTAACCACAACAAAGAACGAACTTAAGTTTACTTAATTAAATTTATCTACTAGTTGGCCATAAGCCCAGAAAGAGGGGTTTCTGGCATAAAGGAGTGGGTAAGATAAGGAATGACAACAATATATTCCCATTTCTTTAGTAGTGGGAGTTGTTGAGCTGGGCGAAGACATATATTAAAACATATAAAAAGCTACAGCATTACGCTTCGGCTCGGTTACAACTCGTGGAATCATTCAAATAGAACAAGGTTGGTTCAGAGAAAAAGACTTGGGTGGCGCCTCCAATTCTCAAAGCTAATTCTTGCCACCTTCCATTCACAAATGTTCAGATTCAGAAGCATATAATCGTGAAAAGCATGCTAATGTTACTGATTCCATACACCACAAATGCTTACAAATCTACAGTTCACAAGAGAATACACGGATCACATAGAGGAGGAACCACGGACAGACGAAATCCTGTTCCTACTCTAAACAACATATACAAAAGGAAGACAAAACTACAACAAAAACCGAGCTGCAACACAAGATCGGTTAGTTGGGTAAGTTAATGCTAACTTACTAAACTAGAGCTGTACAAGGCCTAAGACAACTGCTATTGACTCATATCAGTTACCTCTAGACTGCAGCTACACAACTGTGGGAATGCACATTCTTGTCCTACACCCTACCATTTAATAAACCTGTGCACGACCAATTTCTATGTGGTAAACTGTACTTCATAAACTTATTAATGTCGCTGTTAATGGTATCATCTTCTTGCAGCAAGCTTTTTGGGATGACGGTATTTGGCTTGATGCCAAGTGCTCTCCAGGATGCTGCATCTCTACAAATCATTAGCCAGGATCATGACGGCCTTCTCTGCTGTTTACTTCCCTCCAGCCGATTTCCCTGCTCGACTTTTCCACGTGCTCTGCATATGACAATATTTATTACCACATTATCGTTCATCAAGAACTGTAAGTTTCATTAAATAGTGAATAAGAATAAGAATTACAAGTAGCTCATCATCGGATAGTTCTTCATCAGATTTTGTAGCTGAACTCCTTTCAGAGTCACCTCGATCAGATGAATGACTGTCTGCATTATCTCCTAAACTCCCCTGAGAATCTGATCTTTCAGCATCATCATTTGACTTCTCCGTCGATACATCTGGCTGTGGTTTCTCATGTGAAGAGATCTCCTCGTCCGATCCACGGGAATCCTGAGGGGTGCCAGGTTCATCCTCAAATTCTTTATTTTCCAAGGGATTTTCTTCTTTTACGGACTCTTCCATACCACTTGACCTATCATCATCATCAGCCACTGGTTTCCCATCAGAGTACGATCTGTCATCCTTGTCAGACAGTTCATGTTCAGACAAACTCCCATGCATACTCTCTTTCTGCTCACCTTCTGAATTACCTAGTAAACCCAAATGCCAGTAAGCTAGGGGAGATCACGAATAATATAGCAGAATGGTAAATTTTGGAAACTGTCAAAATTATCAAATTCCTACCAGAACCTATTCGACCTCATCTGACTAATGCAGCAACTAAGACATAATGGAAGTTCTGATATTACTTGTGAATGTTGTAATTTTGGTCAAGTAATAACAGTTAAGATAATTGAGCTTGGATCATTCCGCAAGAACACATCACATTCTAATCCAATGTTAATTTAAATGCACTTAAAAGGACACAACTTTGCTCAACAGGGAAAGGGATCCGGTGGATTGGGACAACTAAGTTTAAGAATGTCAGGTAAATTAACACAGGAGCTCCTAATGACAACCTTGTAAGAGCACCAACTAACATATGTGATCCTCCTCTTCCTCAGATTTTCAGCACTCGAGATGGCTCCTTTAGAAGCCATCGACACGAAGGAACACCCCTTTTTAAACTCCCCAGTTATCCAGACTGACTGGGAAAATTGTCTCGTCTCTGCCTAGCATCTTGACGCAAAAGGACTTAAATGAGAAGCCACTTCCAATCCATAACTCCCATTCTTAGAATCTTGATTTTCTGATGAATGGATTTGTTTGTAAAGCATTTCAAGAATGGCTTTGGAATTCCTCGATCTTCCTATCCTTATTGTTTCTTCTGAAACTGAGGTCCCAAAGGATGTTTCCCTCGTGTAATATCCCAAATGTGTTGGAATGTTATCACCTTTTGTCATAAAACTCCTTAGATGTCCCAAATAAAATGAAACTCTTTAGATGTTTGGAAAAGCAGATCTCAAAGTATTGTCTCCATGCCACTTGTGGCCCCCAAGAGCTAACCCTACTCCCATCCCCTGTTCTGAGAGATATATTGCCGGTACAATGACCCCATCCCTTCAGAATGTTTCTCCAATTCCTCTCAATTCTCAAAAACTAAGGAAAATTGGTAACTTAGTTCTTCGGGTTAAAATTAACTTAAAGTACTCTAAGTTTGGGGAAACTTTCAGATCCGACAAAATGAGGTTTTCATTCTTTCCTTAAATAAAGAGATGGCACTGCTGCATTTCAAATCATCAATTGTCACCCATCTCTCCATTCAAAACTCCATCACTCTGATAGTTTTTCAGTCTTTTATACTCCCTTACCTCATGATATACCCAATTACCCTCCCTCCCTCCCCTTTCATTTGTTGACCTTTCCATAACAGAACATACCAAGCATCATACCGAAGGAAATGCAGCAAATGATAAATAGGGTTAACTAGAATGATAACAAGAAACAATATATCAAGAAATTGAAAGCAGAAGAAAATCACAAGAGTTTTACCTGAGCTTAAAGTGTTTTCGTTGTACTTCGAGGTTTCCAACGGCTTTCCTAAAAGCAGCCTTCCTCTGCTGAAAGAAGATTTTGATGGGCCTTTTTGTCCATACTTCAAGTTCTTCCTTGGAGTTCTCTTCCCTCGTACTTGTGATACTGGAGACCTGTCGGCAAAACAGATTGCATAAGGCAGATAGGAAACACACAAATAAATTATGTGCAATCAAGTTACAGAATCAAGCTCACATGTTATCTGTCTCTTTCTTTTGCTTGGAGGCAGCAAGAGCTTTATTTTTCCTCTCTCCAGATCTGCAGTAATTAAATGAAGAGCAGGTTAAATATGCTTATAATTCCTTTTATGATGCAAATAAACAAGGCGCCGAAAGACATAAGATAGAACTAAGAGGAACATATAAATGAAGTTATTCACTTATTCCCACAGCTTATTTGCATATGCATAAAACTTAGAAGAGCCACATTATGCAAAGTTGACAGTTCTTTCATGAAAGGCATTAAACTTCAAGATTAGAAAAGAATTAAGCTAGTCGTCAAAAATTAATAATAGTCCGGAACAAGCAAAGGCAGAAATACTCATTATACCAACCCATCTATTTCAATGGGGAGAAAAACTATGCAACCTGAGGTATGATATCCACAGCATTCAACAGAGAGAAGTACCATCAACACCACTCAAACACTCAACAATAAAATTTCCCATTTTGAAGTACCACATAAAAAGGAATCCCCCATAACTTATCAGAAGAAGAAGAAAAGGTAATGTGAGAATCACAAACATTAACTCCTTGATAAAGCTCAACATAGCCTTTTATTGATGTTCATCAGTACGTAAACATGGAGTAAAAAGTTTCAACCGATTTTATATACCTTATTCTTTTTATAATCAATATATCCTGTGTTTTTTAAAAAATAATACCCTGTGTTAGCACCAAATGTGTATGTGTGTGTGTGTGTATTTCCAAAATATTCTTCAATGAATATTGTATTGCTATCAATTTGGATATAAGATGCTGGAGTGTGCAGTGTATTGGGAAGAGATTATCTGAGTTCAGAAAAAAGAAATTAAAGAATACATGTTCCCAACAATAGCAGGATGGAAGTAAACCAAAGGTTACCCCTTTTTGGACTAACGGCAGCAGAGCCTACTTGGACATATTTCTTTCCAGACAAAATGGAGGAAAAAACAACACAAGTGATTCTAAGCACAACAGAGGGGGAGAATAGGTTGCGCTTTTGATGTAATCCAACAAGCAAGGTAAAATAAATTTAAAAATCCCATAAGTACTAATGCAAATGAATTACTTACACTTTCTCGTAACGTGAAACCTTTTTGGAATTTGAACCCTTTTTCGAATTTGAACCCTGTAAATGGTATCCAACGCGGTCAGAAATTAAGCCATAATGTATGACTTCACTGCAAGAACTAAAAAAAAATCACAGGAGTGAAGTAACACACAAAGAAAATCAGACCTTCACAGGCTTCTGCCCACCACCAACAAGCTCCCAACACTCCTTTTCCAATCGGAGGACTTCTACATCACCATCATCATATAGAACCTTTGGTACAATTCACAGCAAAGAATCAAGAGAAGTTGACATATCAAAAAGAATTGCAGAAGTTTGTTAACGCTAGAAATACAAAAGTCTGAAGTATTGGACATGCAGCTTACAACGTGTTTGTTCTTTTGAGTGTCAAATGACTTAATAACACCTTCATAGAACCTGTCAAATACTTGGAGTTAGAACATTAACCAATAATCTTGAAGAGTCAAATTAACAAAAATATTGGAACACAATCAGAGTAAAGATTAAAGAAGAAACCACTGACAACTAGACACCAGCCCATGACCTATGAGCGCAATAGTGTATGGAAGACAAAACCAACAGAAGTTGAGCAAGAGAATAAAGAGGATATCAGAAAGAAGCAACAATGATGAGTTAAGAGTATTGACAGATAAACATCTCTACAAGTATTGCTCCAAGGCAATCAGCAAGCGAGATGATAAATGAGCATATAAAAGGAAGTACAACCACACAAGGAAAACCAAAAAAAAAAAGAAAAAAAGAAAAAAAAAAGGAACCAACTCCAAGATTGCTGTGGCTGAACATAGCTTGAAAGTACTAGAAAGAACTTTTACTCATCTTGAATTAAGAGCCACTTACTTCTTATCCATGGGCCACCAAACTTTTATTCTGCAACCAATCAAGTCCACAGTGGGAGCTGTATCACCCTTTGACGTGCACTAGAGAAAATCCAAGTAAAAAGCATTAACAAATAATAAGTTCACAAACATGGAAAAATTGCAGACGTGAATCTTTCTAGTAGGAAAAAGAAAAGTAGTATGAAACAGCACAAAAGTTGCAAAACTATATCTAAACCAACTTCTTTCACAAATGTGAACGAAATTAAATAAACAACAAAACAATTATACAGTTATACAGATAAACTAAACAATACGCCATTGGGCAGAATTATAGATAATCCACACAAGGGAAGAGGATAGCTCACTTGGTATTGTTCTTCCTACGTAATCTGCACACTCAAAACCTCCTAATAAAAGGAACGAACTGCACTTTCTGCTACACCAATTGATGGAATATTTATGGAGGCAGTATAAATGTTTTATACGGAGGAAAAACTTAACATAGAAAGTGCTATAGGGGCTCCAAGTCCAATGTGCTTGAAAGCAATCACGTTAAACTGGTCTAATATTCATTTTGCCTAAGCCTACAATAGAAAGCCTTCTCATTTCTAGAACGGAGGAATCCTTGAATCATATATGAGTATCCATGATATAATTAAGATCCTCCAAATTAAGGTAATTTCTTCATCAACTATCTGATGGCTATCTTTATTTAGCTTTCTTCTAAGACAAAGGAACCAGCCACAACTGCGCTTTGCAGTGCACCTCATTGTTTACCTTGAGCTAACATTCAGACTGCAAGAGATAAAAAGATGAAGTCCCCACATAATAAGGAAGATGCATTAACACAAATACGTTAAGTTACAAACGGATCGAAGGTAATAAAGAACTTCAAACCACATTCATCAAAGAGAGTGTAACAGAACTGCAAACAATATTCTGCAGAGATTTTTGCAGATCAGTCATATTGAGTTACAAAAGATAGAATATATTCACTTTAACAGTTAGTCAAAAACGTTAGACCGTAGAGTCGAGAAAGGAACCAGCATAAGTCACCAAACAATACGCCATAAGTTGGATCGTATCACTACTATGCAAGTAAACATACACCCAGAATATATTGCTTTGCTTTACAGTTGGACAAGGACAGATACATTCACCTTACAGGGGGACAATTATCAGATACACTCAGAGACACATTTGAATGTGGATGGGGATAAAGATGGCGAGATCTACCTTGGCCAGTCCAGCTACACTTTTCTTCTTCTGTTGCTTGTGAGATCCTGACATGTTATTACTTTCGACATGTGTATCAACTGCTTCTTTGTTTTGTTTAGACTTCTGCAGGACCGAAGGCACAAGGAGAACTCAAAGAGGTGATAATATATGGAGTATCTAGTTTGTAACAAATTCTACGATAAAAAAACATACTTTCAGTCCACGACTGTCCGCTCCAACTTCATGGGTATCACCACAAGTCTTATCAGTAGATTTACGCTTTTGTTTAGGCAAGAAGCTTGTTTTCTTCCTGATGGATGATGCTAACAGGTCTGACTCTTCAGGTTCATAAACATTTTCTTCTGAGGACTTGTCTTCAGACATGGATAGAAGATCGTCCTCATTTTCAATAGAAACCTTGATTTTTGCAGAAAGTTTATGGCCCGAAGAAGAAGATGATCTTTGTCGCTTTGCACCTTTTGGTACAGAAATATCAGTTCCTGTTTTTCTTTTCTGACGTTTATTGGTTGCTTTAGTTTTGACTGCAGATTCATGGCCATTGCTTGCATCCAACTTATTGTCATCGCCAGCATTATTTGAATCTATCTCCCTCAACACTTTCAAGATGTCAAGATCATGTTCAGCTCTCACCTCAGGAGGTGAAGGATCATCCTTCACCTCTTTCCGCATCTTAGATCTAGCTTTAAGCCGTTCCATTATTTTTCCTAAAGGCACCTCATTTCCTTCGGTTTCACTGTCTTTCATGGCCTCGTCTTCAGTTATTTCTGACTTCAACTGCTGAATGTAAGGTGGAAGAATAATAATCAGTCAACAGGTGATCATTTATCACTAGCAAATAAATTGTCAATACCAAGGCTTACTGTTCCATTAGTTTCAAACTTGATTGATTCAAAGTGAACCATGACGCTTTCATCAGCCAACCATGTCTTCAATTCAACCTGTCACATCACAAAAGGTGAACATCACGCATTTTATGTTGTAAGGAAGAAAAGTTCAGAGATAAAAATAGGTGGGGAGGGATGGGAAGCTTTTAGTGGACATCTCTTTCAGGGTTGGGGATGAGGGTAGCATTCCCTAACTTATATAGTGTATCGTGCCAAAGAGGGATTACAGTGCAACAAATTTGTAGGTCCCATGAGGGGGTAGTTCATTGGGATTTGAGATTTAGGAGAAACCTATATGATTGGAAGATGGAAGAATTTCACAGCTTGGTTCAGCAATTGTACGGGTTGGATACGCCAATTGATTCCTCGGATGTATGGAGGTGGCGTGAGAGTAGAGATGGAATATTCACTGTTAAATCTTACCTTAAGAGGTTAATAGGGAGAGAGGAACATATTTTTCCTCATTGCCCTATTTGAGAAAAGTGTGCTTCTTTGCGTGGTTGGCGGCACAGCGGAAAATCTAAGAAATTGGAGGATCACCTTTGTTAGTTGGTGTTTCATGTGCAAAAGCTCGGGCGAAGACGTAGATCATCTTTTTATTACATTGTCAGGTGGCTAATTGGTCGTGAAGGATGGTTCTTAATTTGTTTGGGATGCAATGGGTGATGCCAGACACAGCAAAGGAGGCGTTGCAAAGCTGGGTTCACAGGACGGGAACAGAAGTCCAAGGATATGGCGTCTTGACCCATTAGCAATAATGTGGTCATTTGGAATGAGAGAAATAGGAGGGCATTGAAGGGGTGGAACAGGATTTTGTAAAAAACAAAATAATCTTCTGTTCCTTGTTTCTTTTTGGTGCACTCATGAGATCCCTATTTTTATAGAGGATTGGGTCGCTTTGAGACCCGTATTTTGGTGTAGGTTCTCTCCTTTCTTGGTATATGGCTTCTATATGGGGTTTCTCCCAATTGTTTATAAAATCATTTACCTTATCAACCCAAAAAAAGATAGCCTTTGAAACAAGCACAAAGATAAGTATGTGACATACTTTCGTCTCTACCGTGTAGAGGATTTAAAGTATAGCAGAATTCGGACTATGGTGTATTTGGAAGTTGTCTATCCGCCTTCAAAAGAATGTTAGTTTGGCAATATAGAAATAGGGGAGGCTTCATTTTGGTGGACAAAATTAACGGAGTTACAATAGGCAGCCTAAATTTTTGCACAGATCCAGATCAACCAACAGTTGGATATATGGAATTTCATTCACACAGAAATCAACCAGAATGTCTGCAGATTGTAACCAGATTTCCTTGTCGAATGAAGGTTAAATAACAGCATACAAACAAACAAAAGGGAAGTGACATTTGAAAGGTCACTTCACTGCCAACACAATTTTGTGAAGAAGAGAGTAAATTCAGAAACAAGAGAGATTAAAGAAAGTCATGACAATAGAAGGCCAGCAAGGAGTCCTACCAACAGAACACAAGTTGAAGTTTCGTGAAGAAAGCAAGAGTCTGGAAAAGATAGTGGAAGAAAAAGAGAAATTACTCAGAGGGTAGTGACTACGACACTTTTTCAAGTGATATATAAAATTCATCATTATAGAAACATACACCATTGGTAAATAAAGAATAAATACTGATGAATCTCACTTTTCCAGCCATTCAATCTGTGAAATATAGTTATATTGAGGTCTATGACACAAACAATAAGAAGCATCTAATATGGCATACCAGAGACTGGTCCTTCTCTTCACCCTTCTCGAGTTGTTTGTAAAGAGATGGAGGAAGAGATACTGATGCTTCGGACTCCTTAAGATCATCCAGGTTGGGAACTAGCCGTTTCGCAATCATCAGGCCAAGGTCTGAGACAGCATATGAGTTCTGCAAAAGTATTCACACAATCAAATAGCAGGACAATCTCAGGTATCCCCACTTATGGTTGTTTCGTTTGTGCATATATTCCACCGGCACCAAGTGATAGAAGTTTGAAGGATAGAACGACAAGCATTGATAAACTTAAACAAGTATCAGCTTTCCTTCTTTACCTTTGATATTGCCGAATCTACTGCATCTTCTGAGTGTTTTATGCTGTGAAGAATAGAATTTATAGTCAAAATACTTTCCTTCTCTCTACTAATATCACCTTCAGATTTCCCCTCTTCATCTCCATGCACCAACATTGAGAGGAAAAGGTACATTTGCCTGAAACAGAACATTCACATATATTTCAACAAAATTAGAGCTATGGAGATAAGGATGGACAGAGATTTCTCAGGATGCAGCGTCTAAATCTACCTAAAATGTTATCACGGGGTACTGTCATTAGCCAAACTTGCATACAGACAACAAAAAAAAGCCAACATCTTAACTACAGTACAACTGACTTCATACTAAAGGGTTTGGGTACATCTTTAAAAGGTCATCATGCCACTACTGGATCCAATACTGGAGCCCACCCCCAAAAAAAGGGTTGGCCCCAAGTCCAGTAAGCTTATTAAAGATGTATATATGCCTCGTGTACTGGATTCTTTTAAAAGGTCATCTTACTATGTTCATACAGTGAAATGCTTAGTTCAAATTCAAGTTAAGCTATGACTTAAAATTATTCCACTTCCAGCATTAAAACATCAGCAAAGACTGAATAACATACAGAAAATAGCGAATTCTAAATCTATTCATAGAGAAACATATCAATAACAAGTTATTAATTGCATAATAATACATCCTCATTAATGAGGAACATTCTATTTATCTCAGCATGTTCGACCCCAGTGCTACAATTGCTGAATATAAGTCCAACCATGGGTGGAACATTCTATTTAAATTTCATCAACTTGTTATACAACCTGTGAAGTATTACTGTTTAGGTTGAAAATACTAAAGGAATAAAAAAGATAAGCCAAACCATAGACATAAGTTCAATAGTCAAGTAGCTATACATCCAGAGTAGGTGACAAGCACCCTTCTTTACCTCCAAGAGAAGTAGTTTAGCAATTCAGCCATGAGGATTAACACAACGAAAAAGTGACGCCAATGTTTAGAATAAAAATCATCAAGTGCTACCAATAGTAGCAAAGGCGGATCTTTTAAAAGGGTATAGTAGCAAAGGCAGATTCAATTTCCCATTATCTCATTCTTTTCCTTTTATCCCTTTTTTTCTTTGACGGGTACAGGCTGTACAGATTCCTTATAACAAATCAGCAAATTTTCTGAATTTTTTCAGAAGTAATTGGTGATATCATGCACCTTCCAAGTTTTAACAGAGAAGGGTACAGCTGGTTGGTCCAGCCTATTCCTTGAATAAACAATTGGTACACACCCTCTCCCCACCCACAAGAAAAAGAGCCAATGCACCAAGCACTACATTTAAACTAATCCATCATGTATTATTTCAGTAAATGATGAACTAAGAGCTTACTAATGCATAATCCCATGGACACTTCTATAAAGAGAAAAACAAAATCCTATGGTAGCCTATGTTATGCAAGTAAATAACTTTTT